AAACATAAACAGACCAATAGCCAAGTAATTAAATTGAAAGGTCAACTAAAAGCCTTCCAAAAAAGACAAGCCCAAGACAGGTGGATTCTTAGCTGAGTTCTACCAGACCTTTACATAAGAACTAATACCAGTCTTTCTCAATTTATTCCAGGAAATTGAAAAGGAGGAAACATTCACAAACACATTCTATGAAGCCAGTATAACACCAATATCAAAACCACCCAAAGACACACCAAGAAAGAAAACTACAGACCAATATCCCTGATAAACATAGGTGCAAACATGTTTAGTGAATCACATTTTAAAACTTATTAAGGGGGTTAGAATTGTGGGTCAATGGTAGAGTGCTTGCCTAGCACGCGTGAGTCATTGGGTCCAATGCTCAGCACCACTTATAGATAAATGAAATAAAGGTACTGTGACCATCTACAACTAAAAATATTTTTAATATTTATTTTTAAATTATAGGTGAACACAATATCTTCATTTTATTTTTATGTAGTGCTGAGGATTGAACACAGCACCTTGTACATGCTAGGTGAGCGCTCTGCCACTGCGCCACAACCCCAGCCCTCCTAAAAATATTTTTTAATATTTATTTTTTAATTGTAGTTGGACACAGCACCTTTATTTTATTTATTTATTTTTATGTGGTGCTGAGGATCAAACCCAGGGTATTTCACATGCTAGGCAAGTGCTCCACCATTGAGCCACAACCCCAGCCCTACATCTAAAAATATTTTTTTAAAAACGTACTAAGGGGGCTGGGGATGTGGCTCAAGCGGTAGCGTGCTCGCCTGGCATGCGTGCGGCCCGGGTTCCATCCTCCAGCACCACATACAAACAAAGATGTTGTGTCCGCCAATAACTAAAAAATAAATAAATATTAAAAAAAAAGTACTAAGAAGATAATACACCATGACCAAGTCGGCCTCATCCCAGGGATGCTAGGTTGATTCAACTTATGCAAATTAATAAGTCTAATTTACCATGTAAGTAGAATTGAGAAGAACCATATGATCATCTCAACAGATGCAGAAAAGGCCTTGGATAAAGTACAGCAACCAATCATGTTAAAAATGTTGGAGAGGGGCTAGGGTGATGGCTCAGTGGCAGAGTACTTGCCTAGCATGCGTGAGACACTGGGTTCGATCCCTAGAACAAAATTAATAAACAAATAAAATAAAGGTATTGTGTCCATCTACAACTAAAAAAGTTTTTTTTAAAATGTTGGAGAAACTAGGGATAGATTATAAAGGCCATATATTATAAAGGGCACATAGACAAACCCAAAGCAAAATCAGACTGAATGGAGAAAAACTGAAAGCTTTTCCTCTAAAATCAGAAAAAGACAAGAATGTCCACTTTTACCACTTTTATTCAATATAATTCTCGAAACTCTAGCCAGAGCAATCAGGCAAAATAAGGAAATTAAAGGGATACAAATAGGAAAAGAAGAAATCAAACAATCACTGTTTACTGATGACATAATCCTGTATTTAGAAGATCCAAAAAGTTCCCCCAGAAGACTCCAAGAACTGATAAATGAATTTAGCAAAGTAGCAATATACAATATCAACACTTATAAATCAATGGCTTCTCTATACTCCAACAACAATTCTGCTGTTGAAGAAATCAGGAAAACTATCCCTTTCCCAATATTCTAAAAAAAAATTCCTGAGAATTAATCGAACAAATAAGGTGAAAGATCTCTACAATGCACACTATAAAACCGTGAAGAAAGAAATTGAAAGACTTTAGAAGATGGAAAGACTTCCCATATTTTTGGATAGGTAGAATTAGTATTGTCAAAATGACCACACCACCAAAAACAATACACAGATTCAATGCAATCCCCATCTGAATACCAATAACATTTGATGGCCAATCTCAAATTATACTATAGAGCTATGGTAGCAAAAACAGCATAGTATTGGCATCAAAATAGACACAAAGACCAGTGGAATAGAAGGCACAGAGACAAACCCACATACTTACAGCCATCTGATTTTTGACAAAGGTGCGAAAAATATATTTTTTGGAGAAAAGACAGCCTTTTTAACAAATGATGCAGAGAAAACTGGATATCCATATATAGAAGAACGAAACTAAAACCCTATCTCTCACCTAGCACAAAAATCCAATGAAAATGAATTAAAGACTTAGGAATTAGACCAGACCCCTTGCAACTGCTAGAAGAAAACACAGGAGCAACACTCTATTATATAGGTGCATGCACCACCTTCCTCTATAAGACCCCTAAAGCTCAAGAAATAAAACCAAGAATCAATAAGTGGGATGCCATCAAACAAAAATGCTTCTGCAGAACAAAGGAAATGATTAAGAGAATGAGGCGGCCAGTGCCCCACCAGGGTCATTTTTCCTGCATAGGAGGGAATAAGCCACCTGAGAAAATAAAGTCTGAAAAAGTTAGTGAAGAAATAAAAGACAAAGCAGAATTATACCTTTAAAAAGCATGTAACACCTAATACGTCCAGCCTACACAGTTGAAGCTGAACAACTAGAAAATAGCTCTGGGTCGTTTTATTTAAGTGGGAACATCAATGGCAGGAATAAGGTTTCAGGGGTGGAGTCTTGCTTCATGATGTCTTGCAGTGAATAGGTTGACTGGCATCTTGGCAGGCTACACCTTCTCTGAGAAGCTATGTGGCTACAGCGGGTCACCCCATCTCCGGTGCTATGTGGGACCTGGCAGAGATGAATAGAACTCACACGCATCTGGGTGTTCTTACCAGCAGAATTGCCATGGGAAGTTCCCAAATACCATATTTTCCTATTCAATGGGAAAATGCCAATTTGATCCACACATAGTCCATGGATGGCTCTCGACACCCCAGCCATTCCACTCCTTGGTATTTATCCAAAAGAACTAAAATTAGAATACTATAGTGATCAGCAATCAGCCACTTCAATTTTTATAGCAGTGCAATTCACAGTAGGCATGTTAGGAAACCAGCCTAGGTGTCTGACAACAGATGAACAGATAAAGAAAATGTAACACACACACACACACACACACACACACACAATGGAGTTTTACTCAGCCTTAAAGAAGAATGAAATTATGGCACTTGCTAGTAAATGGATGGAACTAGAGAACATCAAGCTAAGTGAAATAAGCCAGACTCAGAAAATTAAGGATTCAATGTTTTCTCTTATATGCAGAAGCTCAAGAGAAAAAAAGGAATAAAAAAGGGATCTCACAAAAATAGAAGGGAGATAAGTAAAGTAGAGGAAAGAAAGGTTGAGCAGAACCCTTGGGTAGAGTAGGGTAAAGGGAAGGCAATGAAAAGGTATCAGGGAATATTAAACTATCCAAATTACACCATGTATATATAGAAATATAATAATAAATCCTACTTTCATATATAATTATAATGCACTAATTTAAAGCAATGGAAGGGAGACCAGTAGAGTGGGGGAAGGGGATCAGGAAAATGGAGGGGAGGGAAAGTGAAGGTACTAGGAATTAAATTAATCAAATTATGTTAAATGCATGTCCAAATATGTCACAATAAATCCCACTCATACTTATAATGTACCAATAAAAAAAAAACATTTGCCAGGCACAATGGTTCAGTCTGTAATCGCAGTAGTTTGAGAGGCTGAGGCTGGAGGATCACTAGTTCAAAGTCAGCCTCAGAAATTTAGCAAGACCCTGCTTCAAAATTTAAAAAAATGAAAAGGGCTAGGGTTGTGGCTCAGTGCTTTAGCACCCTTGGTTTCAATCCGTGGCACCCCCCGCCACAAAAAAAGAAAACATTTGCAAACTGCATATCCAACAAAAGACTAGTAACAACAATATATAACTAACTCTTGAGACTCAACTGTAAAAAAAAAAAAAAACACTACTGTAAGACAGGAACAGATAATTCAGAGAATAGGATATACGGATAGAAAACTAGCATACTAAAAGATGCACATCATTATCTAAAAGCAATTAAATCCACAATGGCATATTACCATATACCTTTCAGAATGGCTAAAATAAAAAAAATAGTGAAATACCAAATGCTTGTAAGAATGCAGAAAAAGTGAATCATTCATACATTACTGGTGGGAAATAAAATGGTTTACTCACTCTGGAAATAGTTTGATACATTTCTTAAAAATTAAACATGTAATTACCACAACACCCAGCAAGCAATGGCACTCTTAGGCATTTATCACAGAGAAATGAAAAATGTATGTTCACATAAAAACCTGTACACTATTGCTCATACCACTATTACTCATAGTAGCCAAAAACAGGAAACAATCCAGATGTCCTTCAATGAGTGAACAGATATTGTGAACTGTGGGATATTCATACCATGGAACAGACTCAGCAAAAAAAAAAAAAAAAAAAAAAAAGGAACTACTACAATGCAAAAATAAACTTCCACTCATGTAAAAACTTGGATGAATCTCCAAAGAATTATTCTCTGTGGAAAAAGGCAATCCCAAATGTTAAATTCTATATGAGTCCATTTATTTAACATTGTTGACAATGACAAAATTATAAAAAATAGAGAACACACTAGTAGCTGGGTGAACTAAGGATGAGGCCAGGAAGGGAATGACATAAAGGAGGTGAATGTTGTTATTAAAAACCAACAAGATGTTCTGTATCACAATTATAGTGGTGAACACCTGCACCTACACGTCATAAAACTGCAGGCCACTAAATATGATGTCTTGCTCATACACACACACAGTTTCTCATGCACACGCACGCACACACACAAATACAGGGAAAACTGAGAACATCTGAATAGATCAATGTCAGTAACATTAATCAACTGTATCAAAGCCAAAATGCTAGTGGTATTTTATTATAGTTTTGCAAAATATTAATAATTATAAATGGATAAAAATACATAAGATCTCCTTGTATTAATTTTTATGCTGATATGTGTTTCTGAAATATCTCAAAATGAAAAGTTATCACTAGGAAAAGATAAGAGTCCTACTTATAATATGTAGCATTTCAAACTCACCAAAACCAGAATTCATGAAGGGAGATGCTGCATTATTATCTTGGTTGCTGCCATTTTCCATTAGAGTTGGGCGATTCATTGTTTCAGGTCCTATTTCTGGGCCAGATTCTGTTTTGAACAACATTACAATATATAAAACGTTTTCAAGTGTTGAAAAAACAAGAAATCTCACCCAGGGATTTTAAATCAAGTAAAACTACCCTTCAGAAATGAAGAAGAAATTAAGGCATTGTCAAAAAAAAAAACTTTTTTAAAAAGTTGGCACTGGATGACTCACCCTTAAAGAAGAGCTAAAGGAAGATCTTCAATCTGAAAGGATACGATGAAAGAAGGTATCTTGCATGCAGCATAAGGAAGAAAGAAAGAACAACAGAAAGAGCAGAAATGTACATGTGGAGAAACTGCATCACTCCTACACTGATGGAGGGAATGGAAAGTAGTGCAGCCACTCTGGGAAATATCTTGGCAGTATTTTGTAAAACTAAACATACAATTACCCTGTGACCCAGCAATTACACTTTTGGGCAGTATCTTTTAGACAGTATCTCAAAGAAATGAAAATATATGTTCACACAAAAACCTGTACTTGAGTGTTCATATAGCAGCTTTACCTCTAATACCCAAAAATTAGAAACAAGCAGGATATCCTTCAATGTGTAAAATACAGAAATGAATTATGGTAGATTCATACCATGGAATAGTACACAGCAGGAAAAAAAGAACTATGGATACAGGCAGCACCTTGAATGAATCTCTAGGGAATTATGTGAGTTTTTAAAAAGCCAATCTCAAAAGATTATAGACTATATGAGTTGATTTACATAAATCCTTGTTAACTACAAAATTATAAAGAAGGAGTGCAGATCAGCCAATGGTAGAGACAGGACAAAATAGAAGTAGGAGGTTTAAAGGAGAAAGGTGACAATAGGCGGGATCCTGATGCTTTATATTTTATATGTGATGGAGGATTTGAAAACCTACACATACAATGAAACTATATAAAGCTTAATATCTATGCACATACAAACGCAAGTAAAACTGAGGACATCTCAAAAAACTTATAATAGTATTAACATCAATATCCTGGCTTTGACATTGTACTATAGCTTTGTAAGATAATCTCATTAAGGAAATACTGTGCAGCTAAAATTTTCTCAAAAATTTTTTTAGTTTCTCATTAATTTTTAATTAGGAAAAGCTACCACTATCTCATACAAAGGGAGTTAATGAATCTAGATTAAATAGTCTACACGTGGGGCTAGGGTTGTGGCTCAGTAGTAGAGCGCCTGCCTGGCAGGTGTGAGGCACTGAATTCGATCCTCAGCACCACATAAAAATAAATAAATAAAATAAAGATATTGTGTCCATCTACAACTAAAAAAATTTCTTTAAATGGTCTACACAGGGTTACATATCATTTCAAACTCACCAATACTGGCAGGAAGACAAAAAGATGAAGAAGTAGCTTGGTCACTACCATTTTCCAATAAAGATGGGTTGTTCATCACCTGAGGGTCCTTTTCCAGGCCAGTTTCTTCTTGGTTTGATATTTCTGTAAAGGAAATATTTTTCAAATGGTTAAAAAAACACTCCTGACCATGTATTCTATATCCTGCAAAACGATTTTTCAGGAATTAAGTGAAACAAAAGATGGTCACAGACAAAAGAAAAAAAACAAAATCATCTGTTACTAGTTGACTAAAACTTCAAATAATTAAAGGAACAACTTTGATCAGAAAGAATATGGTGGAAGAAATGGCATCAGGAAGGAAGGAAGAACAGCAGAAGAGCAGCAATATGGTACAGAGAATCTGGATCTCTCATACATGGCTGGTGGGGAATGGAACCCAGTACAGCCACACTGGGAAACAGTTTCACATAGAACTGAAAATGTAATTACCAGAGGAGCCAGCAATTATACTCTTGGGCATTCATCACAAAAAAATGAAAAATGAGTGAAATGAAAAGGCAAAACTAAAACTTTAAATGAGTGTTCGAAACAGCTTTACATCTTAGTAGCCAAAAATAAGAAACCCATAGGTTTTCAATAGGTGAATAGATAAACTAACCATAGAGCACCTAGACCATGGATGCACCAAAAACCTCAGCAACAAAAAGGAAGGAACGATTGATAAACACATGTGCATGAGCCCTCAGAGAATTATAGAGGGAAAAAAGTCAACCCCAAAAGGTTCCCAATTCCATTTATATAATACTGAAGTGACAAATTACAGACTTAGAGAACAGATTAAGGGTAACCATAACTTAGAGACAATAGGAGGAAAAGGAATGGTGACTGGAGAGAATGAAGTTTGGTTATAAAAGAACAATATGAGAGCCAGGTGCAGTGGTGCACACCTGTAACACCAGTGGCTCGGGAGGCTGAGGCAGGAGGACTGTTGAGTTCAAAGTCAGCATCAGTCACTTAGCAAGATGCTATCTCAAAATAAAAAATAAAAAGGGCCAGGAATTTGGCTAAAAAAAAAAAAAGAAACAATATGAGGGATGGTAATGTAGCTTGCCTGTGCTCAAAGATCCATAAGCCTATATACATGATAAAAGTTACCAAAACACACACATGAACATTCACACAAATAAAATATAAGTTAATCTGGGACATCTCAATAATATCTGGGGATGGTGTCATGTCAATATCCTTGTTGTAAAAATTTTCTAAGGTTTTGCAAGATGTTACCATTGGGGAAAACTGGGGAATGAAAACATGAGATCTTGTTGCATTATTTATTACAACTGTATATGCAGATAAATTTTTCCTGAAAAAAAAAGTCTAATTAGAAAAAGCTACCACTATCTTGCACTAAGGATGTTAATGACTATAATAAATAGTGCTACAAATAATAAGTACCATTTCAAATTCACCAGAACAATAAGGGATGAAGTGAGATGATGAGGAAAGATTTTAGCTAATGTCACCTTCTAATAAAGGAAGTTAATTTGTCTCAGGGTTTCTTTCCAGGATGGTTTGTGCTTTTGCCAACATTGCTATAAATAGAATATTTTTAAAAATTGAAAGAAAAGAAACTTTAACCATGAATCCTGTAAGGATGAAGAGGAGGGGCTGTGGTTGTAGCCCAGTGGCAAATCGCTTGCCTAGCTAATGTGTGAGGTACTGGGTTCAATCCTTAGCACCACATAAAAATAAATAAAGGCATGCTGTCCTTCTACAACTACAAAAAATCTTTTGAAAAAAAAATAAAAAGAATAAAGGGCAGCTGGGTGCGGTGGCACATGCCTATAATCCCAGAGACTCAGGAGGCTGGGACAGGAGGATTGCAAATTTGAAACCAGCCTCAGAAATTTAATCAGATCCCATCTCAAAATTTTTAAAAAATTGGCTGGGGATATATCTCAGCAGTAAAGTGCCCCTGGGTTCAATTCCCAGTACCAAAACAGGAGGGGTGGGAAAACATACCCACACAGGGGAAAAGTAGAAATATTTGTCACTAGCTGAAGTACAGTTAAAGAATGACTAGCCAGGTATGGTGGCTCATGCCTATAATCCCAGCTACTCGGGAGGATGAGGCAGGAGGATCTCTTGTACCCACAAGCTCAAGACCATCTTGGGTAACTTAGTAAGACTTTGTTAAAATGAAAAAAAAAAAGTCTAAAGGAAAATCTTCTGATATAAAAGAATGATGAAAGAGCAAATAATCTTAAAACAACAAAAATGAAGAAAGAACAACAACAAATGTAGCAGAAGTATAGATATAGAGAAACTGGATATCTCACACATAATTGGCAGGAATATAAGATGGTACAGTCTCACTGGAAAACCATTTCAGTTTCTTATAAAACTGAACATGCAATTCATACAACCAAGTATTTGTACTTATCCAAAAGAAATCAAAACTTAGGTTTACATAAAACCCTGTAAACAGTCATAGCAACTTACTTGTAATAGTTACAAACTAGAAACAACCCAGATGTCCCTCAATGGGTGAAAAACAGATAAATAAGCTATAGTAATCCATCCCATGGAATAGTATATGATAATGAAAAAAGACTACCAATACATGCAATAAGTCAGATGAATCCCTAAAGAATTATGCTGAGGTAGGTGGGGGTTATAAAAGGGCAAGATGCGGCATCCTGGTAGTAATAGAAACATCTTGGACATCAATGCTCCTTAGATGACCAAATTCAATAGAACCAAATGAACTGTATATACAAACTAATAAAGTTAAACTGAGGAAATCTCAACAAGATTTGTGGTTTGTGTCAATGTCAACATCCTGGTTGCAATGTTCTATTACAGGTTTTTTAAAATCTATTTTTAGTTATAGGTGGACAAAACACCTTTATTTTATTTTTATGTGGTGCTGAGGATTGAACCCAGTGCCTCATATGTGCGAGGCAAGTGCTCTATCACTGAGCTACTAATCCAACCCCTCTATCCCAGTTTTGTAAGACTGTTATTGAAAGAAATGGGTAAAGTGTGGAAGGTATTCCTCTGTGTTATTTATTACAACTTCTTGTGTCTCTTAAATTACTACAAAATTGGGGGCTGGGGATGTGGCTCAAGTGGTAGCGCGCTCGCCTGGCATGCATGCGGCCCGGGTTCAATCCTCAGCACCACATACAAACAAAGATGTTGTGTCCGCCAAATACTAAAAAATAAATATTAAAAAAGATACTACAAAATTAAAAGTTTAGTTTTTTTAAAAAAGCTACTTCTAGCTTTGTGTTAAGGATGTTAATGGATCTAGATGAAACAGTGCTATAGACCATGTATCATTTCAAACTCACCACAACTGGGACGGATGACAAGAGATGAAGAGGCATGATCTTGGCCTTCATCATTTTCCAGTGAAACTGAGTTACTCCTTGCCTCAGGGTTGTTTTCCAGGCTGGCTTCTATATTAACTGGCATTTCTATCAGTATAACCTTTTCAATTACTGAAAGATAAGAATTCTCAATCATGAATTCTATTCTGAGTGAAATTATTCTTCAGGAAAAAAATGAGGGAGGATAAAAACATCCTCATAAAAAGTAAAAATTAAAAGAATGCATCCCTAGAAGAAATAGCCCCAAAAAAACAGTTAAAGGAAGGTCTACAGACAGAAAAAAACATTACATAAAAAGGAATATTGCAGCATCAGGAAGGAAGAACAATGGAATGATCAGAAAGATCATCCATACACTGCTATTGGGAATGTAAAATGGCACAGCCTTTCTGAAAAACTGGCAGTTTCTTATAAAACCAAACATGCTATTACCATAAGACCAGGCAATTATATTCTTGGCATTCGTGGCAGAGAAAAGAAAATTTATATTTACACAAAAGTCACTACATGAGTGTTTATAACAGCTTTACCTTTAATATCCAAAAACTAGAAAGAGAAACCCAAATGTTCTTCAATGAGTGAACAGGGTTTTTTTAAGTGTTCCCAGTCAAGCATGATGGTACATAACTATAATCCTAGCTACTCAGGAGGCTGAGGCAGGAGGATCTAAATTTAGAGGCCAGCCTTGACAATTTACCAAGGTTCTATCTCAAAATAAAAAGGGCTTGGGATGTAGCTCAGCGGCAGAGCACTTACCTGGCATGCGTGAGACCCTGGGTTCAACCCCTAGCACTGCAGAGAAAAAAAAACTGTTCATATCTATACCATGAAAAGCTACTCATCAACAGAAAGAACAATTAAGAAATTAAAACTTATATTTATGTAAAAATATACACATGAATATTCATAGAACATTTATTTCTAATAGCCAAAAGCTAGGAAAAAATCCAAATGTCCTTCAACAGGTGAGTGGTAAAACAAAATATAGCGTATTCTAACAATGGAATAATGTTCAGCAATAAAAAGAAGAAACTGAATATACACAACAACCTAGATAAGTCCAGGAAATTTAGCTAAGTGAAAAACAAAGCCATCCCAAATAGGATTTCACCTATAAAACCATTTGAAGAGACAAAAATTATATAGATGGAGAAGAGATCATTGGTAGTTGGGGCGGGCAGGGAAAGGCAACCTGAGGAGTTGGGTATGGTTATCGTCAGGCAATTGGAGAATGCCTTGTGCTGATGGATATCATCTCTCCCTTACCTGTGGTGGTGGACACACAAACTTACTCATGGGATAAGATAACACAGTGCTAAATATACATGTGCACACACAAATAGACACAAATAAAACTGGGGACATTGCAATAAATCTGTGACTTACACCAATCACAAAATCAAAGTTGTGATATTTTACTGTATTTTTATAAAATACTACTATCAGGGGAGGGGGAGAGGAGACACAAGAGCTCTCTGTATTATTTCTTATATTTGATTGTGATTCTGAAACAGCTAAAAATGAAATGCTTAATTTTTAAAAAGCTATCACTAAGAATTAATATTAAGAATGTTGCTGAGGGCTGGGGTTGTGGCTCAGTGGTAGAGCGCCTGCCTAGCATGCGTGAGGCACTGGGTTCGATTCCTAGCACCACATATAAATAGATAAAATAAAGGTCCACTGAAAGCTAAAAAAATTTTTTAAATTTTTTTAAAAAGACATCAGGATTGCAGGCATCATCTTTTAAAAAAAATAAATAAATAAATAAATAAAAGAATGTCGCTGAATGCAGTGGCACATGCCTGTAATCTCAATGACTCCAGAGGCTAAGGCAGGAGAATTTTAAGTTAAAGGCCAATCTCAACAACATAGCAAGATCCCATTACCCCATCTCAAAATAGAAGATGAAAAGGGTTGGGGATAGAGCCTAATGGTAGCGTACCCTCGTATTTACTCCCCAGTACCTCATACACACATAAACATGCGTATGAATCTAGATTAAAAAGTACTATTTGTGGGCTGGGGTTGTGGTTCAGTGGCAGAGCGCTTGCCTAGCATATGTGAGGCACTGGGTTCGATTCTCAGTACCACATGGAAGTAAATAAATAAAGGCCAATCAACAGCTAAAAAAAAAAAAAAAAATTTAAAAGTACTATTTGTACAAGTGTCACTTTAAACTCACCAAGATTGGAGGAGATGGGGGTAGATGAAGAGGCAGATTCTGAATCAGTGATATTTCCCAATAAAGCTGGGTAATATATTGTCTGACAATTGCCATCCAGGTTAGCTTCTGCTTTTCCCGGCATTTCTATCAGTACAACTTTTTCAATGGCTGAAAAAAAAGGATGCCCAACTATAAACTCTATATGAGGTGAAACCATCCTTCTGGAAAAAAGTAAACTAAAAACATTCTCAAACAAAGGAAAACTCAAAGCATTTGTCCCTAGCATACTTACCCATACAAAAGGCTAAAGGAGATCTTGGAACAGAAAGGATATGATGAAAGAAGGAAATCTGGAGCATCAGGAAGAAAGAACAATGGAAAAATCAGACAGACAGATGTAGAGAAACTGAATCACCCATTCTTGCTACTGGGAATGTAAAATGGCATAGCCTCTATGAAAAACTGTTTGGCAGTTTCTTGTAAAACTAAACATGCTATTACCATAAGACCCAGCAATTGTGCTCTTGGCATTCATAACAGAGAAAAGAAAATTTATATTTACACAAAAGCCAGAACATGAAATGTTCACAGAGGTTTATTCTTAATGCCAAAAACTGGGGGGAAAAACTTATATCCTTCAATGGGTAAATGATTACAAACAACTATTGCATAACCAAACCACAGAAAACTATTCAGCAATAACAAGAAAGGAACTATTTATTGATATACACAACAACCTGTATGAGTCTTCAGGGGGGAAAAAACCTGCATACCATAAGATTACCTTTATATAATACTCTTAATATGGTAAAATTATAGACTGGTGTTTGCCAGGCATTAGAAAACAGGCCCTGAGGAAGGAAAGGGTAAGCTGAGAGAGGTGAGTATAGTATAAAAGCAAGATGAGGCAGCTGGCAGTGATAGGATTGTCCTGTATCTCGAGTGTGATGCTGGCAATCAAACCTACTCATGTAATAAATCTGCACAAAAATAGATATAAACACATATAAAGTACTAAAAGTAAAACTGGGCAGCCAGGAACTGTGAGTCATGCTTGATAATCCCAATGACTCAAGAGGCTGAGGCAGGAAGATCACAAGTTCAAGGGCAGCCTCAGCAACTTAGCACAGACCCTGTTTCAAAACAAAAAATAAAAAGGACTGGGGATGTAGCTCAGCAGTAAAGTTCTCCAAGATTCAATTCCCAATACCAAAAAAAAAAAACCAAAACAAAAACTGGGGACAGCTCAATCACATCTGTGTATTGTATCAATGTCAATATCCTGGTTGTGTCATTTGACTATAATTTTGCAAGAGGTTATGGTTGGAAAAAATGTATAGTGTACAGGGGATCATGTTGTATTATTTTGTATAAATATATGTTAATCTAAAATCATTTCAAAATAAAAAGTTTAATTTAAAAAGTGAATTATAACTGATTTGCATTAAGGATGCTGATGGATCCAAATTCAACAAAGCTACATATAATATATATCATCTGAAACTCACTGTTCGATGGAGAGGAAGAATGTTGGTCATTGTCATTTCCCATTACAGCGGGGCAATTCATTATCTCAGGGTTGTTTTCCAGGCTGGCTTCTTCTATTCCTGGCATATCTACAAGAAAAACATTTTCAAGAACCCTCAACTATGAATTTATACAATAGCCAAACTATCTTTGAATAACATATGGGGAAACAAAGACATTCTCACATACAGGAAAACTAAAATTACTTATCCCTCACAGACTTATCCCTAAAGAAAGGCTAAAGAAAATCTTCAATCAAACAAGGATATGATGCTATGTGTGGTGGTGCATGCCTGTAATCTCAGCAACTCAGGAGGCTGAGGAAGGAGGATTGCAAGTTCGACACCATCCTCAGGAACATAGCAAGGCCCTAAGTAATTTAGTGAGACCCTGCCTCAAAATAAATAAATAAATAGATAGGTAGATAAATAAATAAATAAAAAGGACAGGGGATGAAGCTCAGTGGTAAAGCAATCCTCAGTAAAAAAAGGATATGATAATGAAAATTAAAAAAGAGAACAGTGAAGTCTTAGAACAGGAATGAGGGTAAGGGAGGAGCAATGGAACACTGGAGGAACAGCAGAATGATATTAACCAAATTATGTCACATGCATGTATAAATATATCACAATGAATTCCACCTTTATGTATAACTATAATGCACCAATTTTTAAAAATCAACTTTAAAATATTGGGAAAGAAGAGAGAAAAATAAAGCAGAAAGTATGAATGCAGAGAAACCGTATCACTCCTATATAGCTGATAAGAATACAAAGTTGTCTAGCCATGCTGGAAAAGTCAGGCAGTTTCTCATAGAGCTAAACATGCATGTGGCCAAAGTCATCAAACTGTGCACCTTAAGTACTACAGGTATTTATTTATTTTAGGTACCTAGGATTGAGCTATATCCATCACCAGCCCTTTTTATTTCTTATTTTGAGACACCAAGTTGCCCAGGCTGGCCCAGAACTTGTGACCCTCCTGCCTCACCACCATCCCAGATAAGTATGTGCAGGTTTTGCATATCAATGTTATGATTTGAATGTGTCCCCTCCAAAATTCAGCATTGCTGATGTGACAGAATTAAGAGAAGAGGCCCTTAAGAGGTGATGAGGGCCAGGTGTGGTGGCACATGCCTGTAATCCCAGCGGTTTAGGAGGATCACAAGTTCAAAGCTAGCCTCAACAATTTAGTGAGGCTCCAAGCAACTTAGCAAGACCTTGTCTCAAAAAATAAAAAAGGGAGGGAAAAAGAGGGAGAAGGGGAGTTGCACGGAAGATGGAAGGAGAACCTCATTATTATACAGAATATATATATGATGTTGTAATGAGAAAAAGAAAAAAAAAGTGTGTCACATTAGATTGGATAGAGAGAAAGGATGGGAGAGGAGGGGAGGAGTAAGGAGGATAGGAAGGGCAGCAGAATAGAATTGACAATATGATTGATGTATGTACAGTCCATGTATGTATTATATGTCAAAATTCATTCTGCTGTCATGTATGACTAAAAGAAAGAAAGAAAGAAAGAATTTTAAAAAATAAAATAAAAGTAAATAAATAAAAAAGGCCAGGCATGGTGGCACACACTTGTAATCCCAGTGGCTCAGCAGGCTGAGGCAGGAGGATCACAAGTTCAAAGCCAGATTCAGCAAAAGCAAGGCGCTAAGCAACTCAGTGAGATCCTGTCTCTAAATAAAATACAAAATAGGGCTGGGGATGGGGATGTGGCTCAGTGGCACTGAGGATCAAACCCAGTGCCTCACACATGCTACGCAAGCGCTCTACCACTGAGTCACAACCCCAGCTCCTGTATCGCACACAGTGGTGCTGTGGCTCAGTGCCCCTGAGTTCAATCACTGGTATCCAAGATATAAATAAATAAATAAATAAATAAGAAAGAAAGAAAGAAAGGCTTGGGATGTAGCTCAGTGATTAAGTGCCCCTGGGTTCAATCTCTGGTACCAAAAACAAGAAGTGATTAGGCTATGAGGGCTCCTCCCTCATAAAGAGTGTTGAGGTCCTTACAGAAAAGGTTTCATGCAGTGGTCTCTGAGTTTGCCTTTCTGCCTTCCAACATGTGAGGACACAGTGTTCCTCCCCTCTGGAGGAAGCAGCACTCACCAGACAACTGAATTTACAGAGGCAAGGTTTGATCTTGAAATTCCCAGCCTCCAGAACTATGAGAAAATAATTTTCTCTTCTTTACAAATTATCTGGTCTATGGCATTTTCTTATAGCAGCATGAGTAAACAAAGAAATCAATTATGTCTCGATAAAGCTATTTTTATAAAAACTAATAAACAAGGGGCTGTGGGTATAGCTCAGTAGTAGAGAGCTTGCCTAACATGTATGAGGCCCTGGATTCAATCCCCAGTACCACATGTACACACCAAAAGAAGAGAGAGAAAGAAAAACCAAACATACACTTAACATGTGGCCCTCAATTACCCTCCTGAGAATTTGTGTCAGAGAAACAAAAACTTAAAATTTATACAAAAATCTGTACATAAATGTTCCTAGCAGTCTTAATTCTAATAGTTGAAAAGTAGGAAAAAACAATAACTAAATTCCCTTCAATGGATAAATGGTTAAACCATGGTACACCTATACCATGGGGTAGAGTATTCAGCAATAAAAAGGAAGGAAATACTGATACACACAATCTGGTTGACTCTCCAGTGAATGATGTTGACATGGAGGACAGATCAGTGGCTTCCATGGGTTAGAAATACGTGAAAGCAGAAGGGAAAGGCGGGTAGAGAGGAATGAGTTTGCTTATAAAAGTTGCAATACAGGGGCTGGGGTTGTGGCTCAGTGGTAGAGTGCTTGCTTAGCATGTGTGAGGTCCTGGGTTTGATCCTCAGCACCTCATAAAAATAAATAAATAAAGGTCCATGGACAATGAAAAAAAAAATATTTTTAAAAAAAGTGCAATACCATGTATGAAGACTTGAATTGGGTGTCAACATATTTTGTGTACAGAGATATGAAAAATCACGATATATGTGTTTAAAAATAAATAAAAGAATTGTAATGCAAAAAAACAAAATACATGTATAAAGGCATAAATTAGCATGAACATACTTTATATACAGAGATACGAAAAATTGGCTCTCTATGTGTAATAAGAATTGTAATGCATTCCACTGCTGTCGTGTATTTATAAAAAAAATAAAAGGAATAAAAGGAAAAAAAGTGCAATACAACCTTGTGTGATAGAAATGAACCTTGTGATGATATAATGTTCTGAATTTTGAACCTTCTCAAGTGATAAAATTGCACAGAACTAAATTCACAGACACACAAATTAATACAACTACAGTTTCACAAGATGTTACCATTGAGGGAATCTGGGTAAAGAGTATCCCCCTGCATTACTTCTTAAAACTACACATAGATCTACAGTGATCTCAATATAAAACTTTTGATTGAGAAAATAACACTAGTTTACATGCCGGATTTTTAAAATCTAAGTTAAAGAATGCCATTTATACCATATGTCATTGTAAACTCACCAAAATTGGGAGGGATGCAGACACACGGCAAGGTAGCATCTGGATTGATGCCCTCATTCCCCACAACGGCCAGGTAATCCATCTCAACATGGCTACTGGCCACGCTGGTTTCTCCTGGTGGCAGAACTGCTATAGGTGCTGCTATGTCAGGCTGGGCAGGTGGCATGACATTGTTGGTACTTTCCACACCTCCGCTGAAAATGCAGGATACTATAGTGAGACCAGAAAGTGGGCTCTCTGGCAGGAGACAGGGCTGCAACGAATGTGTGGAGACAATCCTGGGAAGGGATGAAGTCTCCTGGTGATCAGGCTGCTGTAGTTCAAGGCATGCTTCAGGCTGATTAGATGCTCCTACAGGTTCCTCCTGGGCACAGTTCGCCCAGTTTTCCATTGGCACGGATGTGCTGCAGTTTCCCTGTCCATGGAAGAATAGAGAATGGGTTTAAGATCTTTCCTTCAGTACATAGGCTTTAATTTCTCCACAAGACACACAATCAAAACTTCCTTGTGTGAATCCACGTGACGTCTAAAATGATACCAACGCAGTATAAACAACTGTGAGTAAAAATGAGAATTAAAAAGTTGGTAGAAACATTCATGCCTATATCCCTTTGTCACATCATTTTCTACTGTTAAGGGCATATGCCAGATTTACAATATATGGATTTTATTCCCCCTTAACACTACATTTTAATTACATTTTATACATGATGATTCTTTTTTCTTTTTTCTTTTTTTTGTTTATCTTTTAGTTGTTGATGGACCTTTATTTTGTTTATATGTAGTGCTGAGAATCAAACTCAGTGCCTCACACGTGCTAGGCAAGCGCTCTTCCACTGAGCCCCAGCCCCAGACCAATACATGATGATTATTAATGTAAAAATACTCAGTGTCACTGAGTTTGACACTCAGTGTCAAACCTAAACTTCAGCTTTCTTTCAACAGAGTTTTCGTCCCCCATGTGCTGCTGAAGTATAAATAAGCCTTGCTAATCTCACAATTACTAGTCCTTATCACTTCTGGCTGACAGAGGTTTGCCAAAGTTGTAAAATGTTCTTAAAATACTTACACACTTTTGCATTGGTGATTTCTCCCAAGACTGCTGCATTTTTGAAATGATTCCACAAAGCTGGTTAACCTGCCTATTTGTGTTTTCAATAAGTTCTTGCAAACCCTATTAAAATTTAAAAAAATTAGTAATTCCTATTTCAAAAGGAAAGTCAAATGTGTGAAAATGCCATTAAGCCAAATTTAACTGCTAGGTACAGCTAAAGTCGTCTAGTCATCAAAAACATAGTGTTTCCTACTTGAGGCCTGATTGTGGGTGACACGGAGCCCACCTGGCTGAAACAAGGAGCCTCCACTGCCACTATACCACTATAGCCCATGCAGACACTGGAAGAAGCAGCTCCAGTGCTGTAGGTAAATGTGTCACAGCCCCTCTACACCATGGATGTGGCCATTTCACATTGAGGAAAGTGCTATTTTAAGGAAAGAAGTGTTCATATCTACTAAAAGTCCAAAAAGTCACCATCCACACAAGGACTTAAGAACTAAAAGCAGCAAGCATTCCATAAAGAACCAAATATAACAGATGTGACTTTTGGCTTCACAGTACTTTAAAATCATGCAGTAAACAATTAATCTTATAAAACCACTGAGTACATGTCCCCATATGTGCCCATTAGTATGTG